AACAGAAAGCCTGGCAGAACCTTCACACGGAACGTGTGAAGGTCAACATGAGAATCAAGAAAATCAAAATCCTGCGAAGTAGCATAAAATATACAGATCTGGGGAAATTCTGTGTTGGTTATACAAAACATGCTCTTCACACATGTGAAACTAAAGTGCTTGGCTATCCAATACCGTTTCAATGTAGAAGATGTGGTATCAATATCGCTTTCCCCTTCGTACCAGTATAGGCGTTATAATCATAAAAACGCCAATGTAATTGGATATTAGTTTACTGCAATTCATTCGAAAAACGAAGAGGAGTGACTGATGATTTGTTGCTTAGTTATATATGAATTGTAGGGCAATCACAGGTTCTTTATTGAAGCTTCACTGCTGCATTGGGTCAGGAATGTGAGATAGAAAATTATAATCAAGTTAATCAGTTAATGAAAGTGGAGGTTAAGTAAAGTAAATTCCATAAAAGAAAGAATTCTTCTGAATAAAAATTAAAACGGACGAATTTTTCCAATAGATAAAAGTGACAAAAATATTTTGTTGGTCTGGATAGATTTATTCAACGAGAATTTGTAGCTTGTGATGACTGGCAGACTGGTTTGTCTAAGTAGATAGATGGATAAAAAACAAGTAAAGCAGACCCAGAATTTGCATTTTTCTGCCCTCATTGAACCCGATATTGCTGATGAATGAATGGATCAGTATGGGACAAACTTTAGAGTTGAGTACTCATGCGATTTATGGCGGGTGTCTGGTTTTGTAGGCTCCATAAAACACGGGCTAGATGAAGAACGTAGTGAATTTTATTATCAAAAATAGCCAAGTAACGAGAGCGAACAGATTTATCATCTAGCAAATTTTGAAAATTTGGGTGGAGAAAATGGGGCCGGGAATGAATTTCGAACACGGACACTCCACTGTTTAGCAAGACTAGCCACATCGGTCAACGTTCCTTGGTTAGAGGGAGAGAGGAATGTGTTTGCCCAATGATTTTGCCTACAGAAACTTGAAACATTGGGTCCCCTTTATCCAATTCGTTAGAACCGAAAGAAAACAAGTACTGCGAGGTGGTAACATTTCTTTTAATCTCTTCAGTCGCTACAACGTAAAACAATCTGGTATTTATATAAGCAAGTTTTGATAACTACAGTGGTAAAACAGACAATAGTCAGGGAGCAGTCAGGGACTATTGTCCGTTTTACCACTGTAGTTATCAAAACTTGCTTATATAAATACCAGATTGTTTTACGTTGTAGCGACTGAAGAGATTGAAAGAAATGTTACCACCTCACAGTATTTTTTCTCTCGATTCTAACAAATTGTCTACAGAGTTTGGATAGTGCTCTACCATCGGCCCTACCATCTTACGCAATCAAATCGGAAAGACTGTCAATGGACATCGGAAAACTAACTAGGATTATGCTTTTCCCGTGAGCAAACAGCAGTTAGAATGTAGATAGGCAATTGACGATCAAATGCTTACAACTGGTTCTAGAATGAACAGTATAGTAAAATGTAATAGAATTGACGATGACTGGTAACAATGCGGAAATACTGGGTAGAATACCGGACGTTTAAGCTGATAGTAACTTACCTGTAAATAAAGCACGTAATGAATAATGAAGGGCAAAACACAAGGTTTACAGAGCGCGGAGTCTCGGGGTGATTAATGCAGACTTCAAGTTTTGGAATAAGCACGTTGCGTCACACAGGGAATATCATGGAGGGTCAGAGGGCGCATGGTGGAACTGGTTACTTCAAAAGCTCAAATTCTTTTTCTTACCCAGCTAGTTTGCATTCATAAAGGTGGAGCATCATAAATGAGCCAATAGCGGTATTGATCAAGTGGTGGATATCCATCACCACCTGGTTTTCCCACGTCATTAATCTGTATGGGGATCGTTCGACTAGTGGCTTTTGTATCCTTGAAAGTGAATTACACGCTGTCTTATGTCATAAACGGAAGTTTAAATAATCAAATATTGAAAGAAATATTTGAGAATAAAGTCATAAAAGGGAGACGGAAAACGCAAATAATAAGAGTTGAAAACAACAGAACAAACGAGATAGAGGGTTGTGTGGACAGCTAAGGTCCGACTGTGGTAGGAAACCATGAGGGGTGGAAAACGGGCATCGATGGCCGTCACCGGATGTGGGCTAGGTCAGCCAATATGTGTTTATGTGGGCATGGGCTCAAGTGCAACTGTCTGCAGTTGCCGCTTTCTCAGCAGCTCACAGTGTTCAGTTCAATTGGGCGAAAAACACGTCAAGTGAATTAGCCTTATAGCTCGTCTCTCTCTTTCTCCAGTGATTTATCCCCATGTGTCATGCTATTTTTAACCAATTGGATTCATTACAAGTAGTCGAAAATCACACTGTGCTGCTCTTTCAACCTTAATAAATAATAAAATGTCTCTTTACTTCCTTTTTTATTTATTCAATATATATAAATGTTCAGTCGGCATTCGGGAAGGTGGGCCGCGGCCATGCGAAGGCTGCCTGAGGAAATATAGAACTAGAGAAGTTTGGCTGCGATGGAGCGGTACGACCCCGGAATTCTCCGGTCACAAGTTAGTGATCTAACCACTTGGCCACCACCGCTGGGATGGTAGGTTTTCAAGTGCTCACAACTCCTTTCAAATAACACGTTTTGCTTCGTCGTGCGCAACCAACGCAAACGGTCTGATCAGCTACCCGGTGGTAGCCCTTCCTCATACGGTTTTTGATTAATTCACACAGTCAGTGAGTTACAACAATGCCTAACACGTTTTACGACGATTCTGAACTTCTCCGTTCACGGTTCCTTGGCTCCGAACTCGACGACCATATAATTTTGGATTCTATTACACGATGCGTAAAACGAGGCACTTTGTGGTTCAGTGGTTCAGTGCTTCCAATGGATTCACAGTGCACCTTCGGACACCAAATCGTCATCTGTATCAGGACATTTTACGAGCTGCGATCACTTAGACGCGTGCACTAAAGCTAGTCACAAACAGTAGGCTTCTACGCAGAAGCACGTAAATTGACACACAATGGAGCAAGTCTACCCAAGGCTCAGAGGCTTGTCAAAAGGGGTCAACAAGATGTTTTTACAAGCTCAATGAGTCTTAGTGAAATCGGCGAAAGGCTGAAGTTATCGAGTGGAGCATATGGCCCAGGAGAAGATAAACACCAACTGGAGCAAGACGATAAAACCCACCCAGATTGGATGAGCGGGTAATCACAAATGAAACAAAACAATGAGGCAAATAGCTCCAAATGCTCGCTACATAAATTAATCTTTACATACGGAATTGCAAATAATTTCGTTCATGATGCTTAACTTGACTTTAACCTCGGCCACTGAGTGACGTATCACGGACTCCTTTAGCTACCCTATTGACCCAACCTGGATTTAAGTGCTGATGTGAAACTAAGTTTCTCCCTTAGCGATCGTGTAGCTACGTTGGGGCAAAGGAAGTTAGCTATTCTGTCTATCTAGCGGTACGATTCCGAATGCTAGTATGACTGGTACGATCGCTATGGTTAGTCCAAACACTATCGTGAGGGTACTGATCATAGTATGATCGAACCGTTGAGTGTCAAACCGGATTCAAATGGACGCAAACAATCGCTTCAGCAGCATTAACAGCAACAGCAGCCATCATCGACCGTTTTCTCTTTCCGAAAAATTGACTGTACAGTTGTGTATTTATGTAAATGAATCAGCCGGATAATTTGCGTTGCAAAGTGAACAGTATGTTTTGGAGCTTGTTTTTACTGTAATTGTAATTGTAATTGATCATGTAAATTGTTCTTCATACATTCGATTTGATGTGCGAATCTGAGACAAGATTTTTACCCATGAACAAGATAGCGAAGCTGTTCTAACCGAATTTGACATCGTACAAAGTTGCATTTCACGAAGGGGTTTAAGATCATGAGACTCGAAACTATGCTGAATAGCTTCAAGCAAAACTAGTCGTTCTTGCAGTCTTTGGGTGGATAGTCGTCGGGTGAAAACACAGAGTAGTTGATGCACCGTTCACACATTCTCTGGAGGGCTGGTGGGAGTGCACTGCAGTTAGGTTTTCGTGCCTCTTCAACAGTGAAGTCTTCAATTTTGGCCCAGTTCTACCTTTGCAAACTTCATTTTGTGTGATTTCCTGCAAATAAATTTACGAATTTATCAATTTTATCGTCAATCTCATCTACTCAATTGATTTAAAACCCATCAATGCTATCAAATTCACGATACCATTCACATTGAGCAAAGCTGAGGAAAGATCAGACGTGCCGCTTAGTTCGAAACGATTGATATGTGGCGTAAACACAGTTACGAACGAAGATATGAGTGTCTTACATGATGAGAATGTCATATGGGACGCAAGTCTATCCACTGCGACAACCGGGAGATATGCAAATAAAAAACATGCACAATATGTTCTGACAAAAAACGCAGGTTCTGTATTGATCCTGGGAAACCTCAGGTCCGAGTTTAACGTACGAGTTTAACGGTACGAATCGGTTGTCAGTACATGAGTGTCCAGTCTGTCTCAACGTGTTCATACTCATTCGGCTGTCACTCACCTAACCTAAGGATGATGAAATACATGAGTTCATCAATCTGGGTTAAGTCACGTTGAAGCAATATCCGAAAATTCTTCCAAAATGAACTCATGTTCTTGCCATGTTTGTCCCATGACAAGCACAGAAACGTGATAAACTTCATGGTCAAAGAAACAACTGTACACCGTGGGACGGAAGAATATTCACCCATAGCATATCTTGTTGATTTTGCGCTTGTATAGAGCAAGATTATAAGTGGAAGTAAAAAGAGAGTGAAAAGTGTATGGGCTGTTTTTGAAGTGTAGTCAACAGTTTTCAGAACAAGCAGGTGAAACTCGATGCCGAATGATGATCATTTGTTCACCATACACTGAAAAGCTGGTTTACGGACATCAACTGGTCTGGGCCTAGGGTGAAAACAAAACATGGTATGCCACTCGACCCAACAAACGTTAGCCCATGGTCGGATCTAGGGTGAGTTGACTGGCACAGACAAACACATGCACACTTCCCAAATACTTGCTTTCAATTCGATTGACCCGATGCTTGAATCGGAGTGGATCTAGTCTGGGTATGCTTCGTTGTTCGACATGAAGTTTGGAAGTGAAAAAATTCACTGCCGTTGAATCTGGGGTCGGCAGGCGATGTTTTGAGGGACTCATGAGATGAACTAAAACATGATTCTACGAGTACGGATAAGTTTAATTTAGCCCAATTGTTATTCAATGCTTTGTTTGCAAAAGACAAAAACATTTGTTAACAAATATCAATGTTGATCTGATTGGTCTTTGACTTTTGCTTTCAGTCCTTTCGATTGGGAATCCATGGAATACAGCTAATCGTCAGCAGAAACACAAGGAACGAGGATAAATTGATGTGTATTGGCTTAAATTCACGCCGGTCCGCCACGTTGGTTTCGATTATTGCGGTAGGTTCATTCACTATCCCATTGTAACTGCAATTGTGTTGAATTTTTACATCCTCACTAATCTAAAAAGCTCGAACGAAATATTTGCATACAGTATTCAATCAGGGCAATCTGCTTCATGTTGTATAAAAAAGCAGGACTTATGGAAAAATCAGATCCTGAAAGAGGTCAAGCTAATACTTTTGTGGATGATGCGTGCGCCTCCGCAATGACTGCGAATTATCGCTCAAGATAGGCAACTCGTATACGACATAAATTCAAGTAGAATATCGAATGGTTTTTGATTGGAGCATGTACTGTATTGGCAGACAAACGAGCAACCTTTATCCAGTTCCCCAGATCATACGGTTTCTGGACAGAATTCCAAATTCCAAATGCCCAACACACATCGATGCCCAATCAAGCCGGTGATCACTACCACAACCAGGAGGGTATCATTTGGTTCGTAGGTCTCTTCTTGGTTGATTTTGGATCAGCGGTTTGCAGTCAGCTCCCACAAATCAACTAGCCGTGGTTTACTGACCTGGAGATAATCCCGGATATTAACTTATGATCATTATTTGTTTTTTTGTGCGGGGAAAAACTTACGCCACGTGAAGAATATGAGTAGGGCTTCCTTAGCGGAAACCATTTGGACGGTTCGTCCTATGGGAACATTTGTATAGGTGCAACGGAAAGGGGAACCCAAAGCACCCTATTGTAGTCATACTGAGGATTCCGGAAGCTTACCCTTAACATAGGAGTCTTCTCCACAAAAATGTATGCACGATGAGTTAGGAATTTCAGAAAATATACAGTTCTGCAATTGTGACACAGAGAACAGCTTCTAATTGAGATCAAGTAGAATCACTTCTTCCAATATGATGTAAATTATAACTTATTAAATTCGTACACTAAATGCACTCTAGAGTTACCATGCAACTGTATTGTGTGTCTGGATAGGTGTGTGAGAGTTGGTTTTGGACTTTCAGAGGGGAGCTAAGGCAATGGCGTCAAAGATATACACCGAAGTGTAAGCATAACCTTCGGAATACAAGAAAACTCACAGGAAACATTCAAGCACATAGACTAGCTTGTGTTTACTCCCTGTCTTGTCAAGTCCTTTGGTAAATTGTTTATAAAAATGAAGTAGATCACGGAAATTTTACTCAGAAAATCGGTACAGTTAACTAAATTGTTTCCTAGACGTTTATTGCTATCACTCGACAAAGACCACACGCGGATGAGAGACTGCGTGATTCTGATGGAACATCAGTGTGAACCACTTCTGGGCAAGTCAGATGCTAGCATGTGCACCAGACTGACAAATGCCGTCGAGTGGATTGAAGCGGAAGGCTTGTCGATAAACCGACAGCCATCAGACAACCAAAGTAGGAGAACACCATGACTGGTCAGAATGATCACATATCAGTATCGGGAACGCGGGGCAAGGGGGGATATGTATTAATATGGTCTTGTGACATACTGCATCTATTCTGGAAGGTCTTTACACCCTTAGACCTTTTACCATCTTTGGCAGATGGTTAAACCACTTCTCCCTCCCCCCCCCGTTTTCTGAGCACACCATAGAAGGCATTTTATTAGTTGATTCCAGTAAACAACTATTGATTGCAGACTCATGTGCCAAACAAAAGGTAATAGAGCAAACATTAGTGCCGGTAGTAATATTAGTATATTAGAAATAATATTGAGGCAATACATCATCATCATATTCGTTAGTCATAACTTATCCACGGAAAGTCCTCGGATTTGGGCACAGATAAATACCACCTATACGGATATACACACACAAACACGCATACTACCTCTACTTGATTGCCTATTATCCTGTGGCTCGATTTTATTATCCGAAGTTGTGTTTTTACTGTCACACCATTCTATTCTACGTATTGCTTACAATTCAGGTCAGGTTGCGTTGTAAAAACAAACTGTGTGAATGGTGATGTTCCGACCACAACGTTGATTTTATTTGAAATGTTTTCCCAAAATTGCTTTACTCGCGAAGCATTGGTTGGTTCGAATCTAGGTAGAAACAGTAAAACAGTTGAATACAAATATTTTCCACATGCGTATGAGCAGTTCAAAGTCCATATAGGATGGTGTATGTGCACTACTGGTGTGCTCCAAGGAGAGTCTTTAGTGTCTCCCGAGTGTACTGTTGGCGTGAAGATGGAAGCTGAAGGAAGTCCAGTCCAAAGCGAGATCCACTCAGGTTCCGAAGCCAGCTGAAAATGGAACAACGAAACATTTGTCGTTAACATAACAGTTATCGGTGAAACCTAGGGTTTGGTTTCAATCTCTCTTGTGCAAGAAAGCACATCGGAACGTCGAAAATTGCGGATCTCTTTGATGGAGTTTTTAATGTTGTTACACTGATAATTGCGAGGCAGGTTGTCGATGGTCAGTCCCCATCGCCCAATTCATCATGTCTGAGTTCGAGTGCCCGTTGTCTCGATGGCTATACAATGCGGAATTTTCTTTATGTACAGTAGATGACAAGTAACGCACCGACTGTGCATAGTATTTAATCACTGGATTATTTAATTGACAGAACAATGCATACCCTTTTACCACCAGAAAAGTGAAGGTTTTCAGATAAATAAAGCAGAATAATGCATGAGATAAAGATAACACTTATGGGATGAGAAATGGTGTTCCACATTTTATAAACCATCCATGAGGCAGAAAATTGAAATGGCTTTTTTCGTTCCTGGCAGTTCAAGAGAGATGCCACGCAACTGGTAAAATGTCTCTCACAAATCAGGTGTGGGTGTGCACACAAGAATACTACTGCCTTGGTACATTCATACAATAAAACACAATTCCAACCGTTTTTGATATTATTATCTATCACGTTATCTATTTAAAGCAGAAACTGGAAGGGAAACTTGTGTATAAGAGGAGCATTCCATACATATACTCGAGTCAAGTGAAACAAATGATATTGTCAATTATTAAGTGATTTCCTGAACCGGGTCCCACACCGTAATTAGAAATAATTACCGTTCCCGAGAAAATTTGTCTCCACCATCTAGTACTCAGCAATATTTCCAAGTAACATTGGAAACTCCTGTTGAACTCAAAACCATTTACATGGAAGAACTGTGTAACTCATGCCGCAAATAAACAGAATTAACGAGCCCGGTTGAATGATATGTAGCCATCAATGAGCCATCGGTCATTCGGTTGCAGTTAGTTAGTCAATCAGTCAAACAGTACATGGTTACATGTGGAAATGTTTCACGCACCGTTTTGTATTGAATTGATTTATGCCATCTGCAACAACCAATATTTTTTGCCACTCCGCCCCCCCCCACTGTTGCATCCCTGTTCTTTTGTTTCACCACATTGATTAGTAATTATAGTTGGATATACACGGATATTTTCGCTTTGATGGTGATCTAGCGGAATACAAAGTAATTTTGGAAGACATAAGTACATTACTATTGGGCATATGTAATTTTACTACTTACTAGACTCTACTTTCGTAGATGTATTGGGTTTGATTGCATGAGTTATGAACTGTTTCATTAGTGAGAAGCTGTAGCTCCATCGAATCATGTCATTCGTCACAAACATTCATCACCCAAATAATCACCAGTGGCTTTATTTGCGAGTTTCACAGCATGTATGTGTTTTAGAGGGGAAAATTCGACCGGAAAGACGATGCACGCGAGTAAAATTGGTGACGGGCGTGCCACTTGATCACGAGATGTGATCTGATTGGACGCTCGTAGAGTCAACATCTCACGCAATAGTCTGTTTGAACATTTATCAAGTTAAGGACACGAACCTGTTAGATTATCGATCTGTTCGCCACGGATCATACTTGCTCTTCATCTTTAACAATAACTCAGTTATCCAGCCCGGTTGATACGTGTCCTCTCTCTCCCTCCCTCCGCACATACGCACACACGCACATACACATGCACACGTTGTCCGAAATGAAACAGCAGAGCAGTTGAAACTCGGATACATTTCTGAATGAGTGAAACTCTCCCAACGTCTGTCTTCCGTCCCGGCGATAAACGAATATGTACGGGTATGAACTCACGACAGATTCATGAAGCTTTTGTCAGTCGTTTCATGACCGCGGGTTTCTATCACGCTTTAGTCATGTACGTTAACATCAGACGATTCGGACCAAAAATTGAATCGTTTATTTGGTCATTAAACTGATAGAAGCAGGGGAAGACACTATTCTGTGGGAGATAAAAATGCGGGACCGAATCCGGAAGAATATACGTGAAACACAACCTGTAACAAGCTGTTAGGCTGGATGGGATGATTAAACAGGCAACGAAATGCAGCCTTGCATTTGAGTAGGTGATCCGATATCAAATAGAATGATGTGAATTTCGACCAGTGAATCCAAGCAGCTGGTATTCTTGCAGATTGTTCTTAATTTGTAATAAGCGTTACCCATGTGTTTAGCAACATTCAAATTCACGACTTAGTTGCGGTCACGAAGGGAAATCAATGTGGAACGCTGAAATAGGTCAGTATTAATTGAGGTCAATTGTCACACATGTAAACCCATCACTCAAAAACAGAGCATTTCCACAATCTTTTATTTCATTCGGAAGCTTTCAAATGAATGTGGATACTGCTTGTTTCATCATGATATCACTGAGAAATAAAAACGAGGCAAATGTTTATACACTCTCCTAATTGCTTTGATTTCTGTTAAATCTGTCACTATAATAGCTTGAACGCTCTTCAGAAGGATAAAGA